GTGCACACAGACACAGACACACACACGTGTGCACAAGCCCAGGGTGCACACTCCGTGCCGGGTGAACACGCTCACACACGTGTGTCAGTGCGTGTGGGATCCCCGGGTGTGGCAGAGCCGTGCAGGAGGGGAGCACCCCGTGTGTGCCCATTTGTGCCAGCCGGGTGTGCAGCCGGGTGCCAGCCCTGCTCCCCTGCCAGGGTGCCCGTGGTCCCCACGGCTGCGCTCTGGGGTGTCAGCAGGGACGGACCCTGATGTCCCCATGACACCACACAGCTTTAAAATCAACCTGCCAGACACAGAGCCAGCACAGCCACCATCCCCAGGGTGTGCCCTCTGCCACCATCCCCAGGGTGTGCCCTCTGCCACCATCCCCGGGGTGTTCCTGTCACCAGCAGTGGCCTCTCTCACCCACTGGTGTCTGCCCACAGGGTCCTTCTGGACCCCCAGATCAAGGGTCCCTGCTCCTCATGGTGCCTGGACTCCCAGGACCCCCCTCACTGCCACAGCCACAGCCCTGAGGGGCAGCAGGGCCACCACCCCAGCCCAAGGGGTGCCAGGACTCGGGGGACACAGAAGGCATTTATGCTGCTGTCACATGTCCCCACACAGGGGTCTCCACGGGGGTCCCAAGCCATGTCCCCTGGCTGGACCCCAGCACCAGCAAACCAGCGACCCCCATTCCCACCAGCAGCCATGTGGGCCCAGACTCTATTTCCCCTGTTTCCCCCCCCATTTTTCCCCTTCCTGGCTGCAGGGGGGCACATTGTGGGGTTCTGGGGTGTTGCAGACAGGCCCTCAACACCCACACAACTGCAGCACCAGCTCCCACCTTCCCCCACCCCACGAGAGCCCTGCAGCCGCTCAGCACTGCGGGGGCAGAGCCCCCCAGGGGTGCCCCATCCAGCCCCTGACCCCGACCCCCGGGATCCCTCCTCCTCCTGTCCCCAACACCTTCGGATGGGGGTTCCTGGCCGGGTGTTCTGCTCGGGGTGAGACCCCCAAGGGCAGCCCCCCAACTCGATCCCGTGCCATCCCCTGCCAGGGCTCCCAGAGCGGCCGGGCTGGGATCACTGGGGTGCTCCAGGCCCCTCACCCTTCTCCTCCAAACCCAGTTCTTGGCCCTAATTGCTCCCTGGGATGCTGAGTGGCCCCTACCCCCGCTGGGGTGCAGGGAGGGGGCCGGCTGGGTGCAGGGATGATGTTCCTGCTGCCTCCCCTCCCCACCGGATTAAGGGGTTTCTCAGTGCCACTGTTCCCTCCCTGCAGAGCCCTCATTCCCTCTAACCAGGAGGCTCCCAATCTCCTTTAGCACTAAGCCTCTCCCGGGAACTTATTTCCGGCACCCAAATAACTTCCCAGCACTTTCCCTCCCGCTGCCCTCGGCCTCAGCCCCGGCAGAGCTGTCAGGGCCCACAGCACCCGGCTTGTCCATGGCACTGCCCCTCCCCCTGGGCACATCTGGGAGCCCAGGAGCACAGCTGGGAGCCCAGGAGCACAGCTGGGAGCCCAGGAGCACAGCTGGGCAGGCTGGCCCCCACCTCTTCGAGCTCCCTGGTGCCCACTAACCCAGCGGGGTGGCAGAGGCAGAGCCCACATCCAGCAGTGTGATGACACACGGGGTGCAGAGTGTGTCCCCCCTGGGCGTGGGGGGCCCCCCGTGTCCCCCCCGTCACCTTGGCTGCCTTTGCCACGGCCACTGCAGAGCCAGTGGCTCCTTGCCTGGCCCTGCTCTGTGCCAGAGCTGCCCGTGGGCACCGGGAGGCCACCCAGTGTCCCCTGCAGTGCCCCC